GACTAATTTGTGATGATAAAAGGGAACTGGTGGTGAAAAGGTTTATTTGTACTATGCATTCACCAAAGATACAGGTAAGGTCAGGTCATCTGGTCATTTTTTTTTTTGAAAATATATTCAGGTTGAAAAAAACAAAATTTATTTACTCATAAAATGGAGATAAACTTGATATATTGGAGACTGTTTCACTGGTTTGGTGATAGTAATGACTTGTCTTTTGAAAACATGATGAAAACGAATAATGGTGTAGAATAAATTCAGTAAGAGTAAAAACACTATCTCTGTCAAACGCTTGCTTGTAATGGTATTGATCAGATGTAAATATTCTATGAAAACATATAAATAATACAATAACAAATTATATGCTACATGTTTTTTTTAATAAAGTGAGAGAGTCGCCACTTGTTCATGTGGAAGATGATCATATTATGTCGTTGTTTACAAACTAGCATCTACCCATGAGCCTTTGCATTTTTAGCACAAGTTGGTATAGTAGATTAGGGCTCAATTCTCGTGTCAGCGCAGGCCACAACTCCTAAGCTTTGAAAAAGCACCAAGGACTATTTACGACTTTACGACTGATGAACAATTAGAACTGGTGTAGATTACTGGAATGAAAAGTTTGACATATGATCACGTTTACAGACAAGTATCAGGTCATAAAGCTCATATCAACAGTTCAAAATTTAGCGATCAGATCAAATACTCAACGTAACCTTTTCAAACGCATATTTGTTAATTTACTTTGCGACAAGAATATCTCAAGAACATACTAAAGATAATAGAAAAATGTGAGTGAATCCAACTACCGTATTCCATCTATTAGATGCACATGTCACTTTATGTATTAAAATAAAATATAATTATTTTGATCACATACAGTACAGTACGGGGCCGGGCTTTCTATATGCTAAATTTTGTTCTTTCATAATATCTTATGATGTGATGTGGTGTATCCATGGTCCATTTTCACTTCCAGTGCAGCCACAAGACACACTGCATCACTCAAGAAAATAACTTCCATACCCTTTAAAAGTCAGGGCGAGGCCATGGGGTTATGTCATTGCACTATTTACCCCTGCTATACGAGACATATTTCGGCAGAGTAGTTTGCACAATTTAGATACATGGCAGTTTTGAAAGCATACTTAGCAATCTTAAAACCATTTAAAAGTTACTCTTGGGACTACAGTGTCTCTGCTTTTTAGGTATGCCTCTAATAAGGCAAATACAGTACTGATAATGATGCCTGTCTGAGAACTATAAACCAACTGATGGTCCAATTATTTCATTTTTCTGTGAATAGAATGAAACTAATACTTCCAGGAATAATCATATAAAAGCTACAAACCTATCAAAGTACCATGATTTTCTTGACTATCACAGTACGGTAATTTCTCTGTGTAAAGTTCTTAAAATCCAGATACAAATATGAGGTCACAGAACTACTACCCTAATATCATCTGTACTTTATCGTAATTAGTCATGTGATGACAGTTCGTTGGGTATGGAATAGCGTATATTGTTTATATTTGCAGTAATAGTGTATAGAACTTAATTGTTAGCTCAGTTTTATATTCACTTATTTCACGAATCATTTAAATAAAACCCAAAGTTAACCATAGAATCTATTGTTTCCCTAAACAATTGAAAACCTCGTGACTATCCCGACACTAACAAATCACTGAAATTAAACTCAGTGACTATTTTCCTAGTACAGTGTATTCTTCTGCATGATATTGTACATGTATAACGGCATACAGTACTAAATTATTAAATGAGAATTAAATATTATAATAAAATTATTTAATTATTAACAATAAAACATGTTGTATGAATCAGAAGATAGTTTTTAAATAAAAACTAATGGCTCATCATTCAGATTTTCATTTACAAGCAGACAAAATGTTTTTTTCCTATGAAATTCAATTATATTTTTAAGCCCCACAGGATCCGATGGAATTAGCCAGCTACCTGTCTACTTGTTATTTTAGACAGGTACTCCCACATGTAAAACAGATAAAATATAAATATTTGCAATCGTTTCTAAGATTGAAGACAATAATACTAAAGCACAAGAAGAAAACAAAACGATATACGTAAAGGTTTCAGCAAATTCGGAAAACAGTATGGGGAGTAAGATTGAACAAATTTAGGCATGTAAATGTGCATTAAATTTATTTTATTTACGTTACATTTGAGAAAATGTTCTCAATAAAATCATTACATTTTCTTCAGGAATTCACAGCATATTAGCATTTCCACCATCTAAAACAGTTCATAAGCAGCCTAATTTGCATAAATTACATTTTATATGTTTTTCAAGAAAGTTTCATGTCACAAATGATGTGCCCATTCATTTTCTCACTATATTTTTTCATCATTTAATAGTTTACATATTAAAAACTTTTGAAATACAAATAATATTTGAACATTATACAAATATTGACACCAGCAAGGTCAATATAAAGATTAGTCAACCTGAAAGAGCATTGTTGGTCGAGACTAAATTTGTATTTAGTTTTCTTATATTTATTTCAATATTTTGGCTAAAGCAGAAAAAAATTAGAAACAGCCCATTCTTAAATGATGCACAAGCTGACAAGAAACAAATCATTTTTTTGGGATGGCCCTATTTTAATATTTTTTTTTTTCAGAAAGGCACTACTTTTTGTGTGGATACAGCCTTGTTGTTGTCATGGCAGCTGGGATTTTAACCAATATTATTTTAAGATGTTGGCTTAAAAAAATGTTTTACAGAGACAAAGATTTTAATGAATGGCTGATGAGATTGGGTGTGCAAACTATATGGTGTGCTTTTGTTATCTTAAATTACTTAAAAAATCTGGGTTTATCATTTTGTTCTATGGAAATGTTTCAAAATAGAAATTTTCACAAAATACAGTACTGTAAAGCACAAATTCAGGATGGTGTTTCCTATTACGACCTAACCATATCATTGTACTTGGCAGACTAATGGCAGTTGACACATGATTTATCATTGTATGTCTTTTCTAATCAACCATAAAACATATGGTACCATTGTCCCACACAGATTTTTAAAATTTAGGAAATGACAAATCAAGATCCCACATATCACAGAAAAGAGTTAAAACAACAAAGTCGTTCTACATGTATTTAATCATTTTGCCTGTTTTATGTATTTTGATCATAATTTTTTGATAATTTAAACATAATTTTCCATTGGCTATAATCGAGGTCTCAATCATAATTTTAAAGAAATTCTAAAAATAAATATTTTTAAAATTTGGGAATGTTGACAAAAGATGACCTTATCACTCAAAGAAAATATGTAATGTGGAATAACTATTTCTGTTGAAAACAATAATTTAGATTACATGTATGAACACATTTTTTCTTCTCTGTGAGCAGGGCATATTTTTATATCTTTGTTTGACAGTTTCCTGTTTTTGTGTGATTACAAATTTTCTACTTCCTGGTGAATTGTTTCTAGAAATGCACACCATACATAGTAAACTATTACAGACAATCATTCTTAGAGTCAAGAGGTCTTTAGGAATGAATGATTTAGATTATGAGGAAAGACATAAAAGATGAGAGGAGTAAAAAATTAAAAAAATTAATAAAATTTCTAATTTTATTTCTCAATTATGAACACTTTAATCAAAATTAGACTTTATTTTTAATTTAATGGCAATTTTTAATTGTATTTATGTCATTTTCAAAAAAGTTACATGCATATATTCTCGAGAGGAGCTACGTCACAGAGCGTTCTATGTTGCTAAGACACACACCACTGTACCATGTATTTCTGTCGGCTCTGCATAAACTGCAGTCAAAACTCAGCTTTGAAATAATCCTAAGCAACCAAATTTGTTGTACATGTACATGTAGAGGGTAAACTTTTCACACTGTTCAAGAATCTCAACAACTATCCTAAAGTACAAGGATTTTTATGAGTTTTCGATCATATATTTTTCACTACTTTAGGTTGCCAGGCAGTGATAATGCTTACAGTAAATGTAAATACAAATAAAATTTTAAAAGCATCCAGTATCAATTTGGGAATTTTTATTTTTGTAAAGTAAATAGGAATGTAGCATGTCCAGGAGTATTTGGATATTTAGGATGGCAAGATATTAACTAATAATAAATTATGAATACAGTGTTTGAACTGATTACTAAAGACTGATAATACCAGGAGAACCAAAACAGTTTTCTCTAAATTGTATGAATCATATGAGAAGAGGACTAAACCGAGAACTGACCAAAATATATCAAAAATATTCTAATTAATAATGGTATAGATCATGTTTAAGGCCTAAAATGAGGGACCTGAGGAACGGTGGTTGGATTAGAAGTTTTTATAAAATTTGTGAAGATAAGGAAATAAAGGAACTATCCAAGATATAAAATCCCACTATGGCTGGATTAAACAAGAATAAAAAGGAAAACTGTAGGATCCCTAAGATCATCAACTTGACAAGTAAATTCTCTTAGCTCTGATCAATAGAAAGCGCAAAAAAACTAACTCTTGTATATATTACTCAGGTGAAATTAATTTTAAATTTAATTTCCCCTTCCACTTCCTCTTTACGGACAACCAATATAAGGAATTTAGGAGATATCAAAGGAAATCCGAAACTTTCTCACTTGCCGGTGGACATTTACAATTGTGAAACTGAACCACAAGATGCTATGTATGAATGCGTTTTATGCTTTCTTTTAAGCAGTCTCAAAAGATAATACACTCATAAATACATGTACATGTACCTAACCGGCAGTGTTTCCGATGGGTTTTTGATCCTGCATGTACCTCGATCATCATGGCCACGCTGTCGTCGACCATCAATGCAACATATGTCCTGTCTATGCACCCAGAAAGCGCCGCAGCATTGCTAAAATATACACAGTTCCCGGTATCTTCCACGAATCAACACATGGAAAGTCAGTGACCTCGTGACCATGCGTATACGACAGATGTCATTAACATTGAACGAAGAATAAAATCAAAATACCTTTGTTTAGTTCGTACGAGATTCACTTTTTTTCCTCTTCGCGTGCTCTGGGTAACGTAAGATGAACCGATGTAGTCTGGGAACATAATAGTTAAACCCACCGCAAGTGAAATACACACTCCTAAACACATCAAAAACAAAGTCTTCAGAGACAACGGACTGCATGATCGGTCACCATTAGCATTACTGGGTTGTTTTGATCGGGAAAGTCGATGTGCTTCCATCTCCCCGACCGCGTCTGATTGCCGCCGTGAGTGAGTGTGGGTGTCACTGACGCCGTATGGGCCATTGAATGACTCAATTCTATCGACGAAGAGTATATATTGGCACAAATAAGAGGAACTGTCGACAAACGAACGCCATCCACGGCCTCACTTATAGCATGATCACCAGATAAGCAGCAAAGTGATAGTATTACGCAAAAGACCCCCCCCCCCCAAACCGGGTTGAGTGCGCCCTCGTTGTTGAGTTTTCTGAAACATCCAAGAAGAATAGTGATTTCTGATTTACGGTATAGTAATAACACCGTTTTATTCCTCAGCTCCTGAGAGCGAGGTTATTTGTAGATATGCTGGCGATCGCCTCTGTGTTTCCGGAAGTACTACGGGGGATTGCATGATATGAGTGGAAAGTCTTTTGACTCCTCAGCTCCTGAGAGCGAGGTTATTCCTCAGCTCCTGAGAGCGAGGTTATTTGTAGATATGTTGGCGATCGCCGCTGTGTCTGCGGAAGTACTATGGGAGATTGCATGATGGGAGTGAAAAGTCTTTGGATCTGTAAAATAATTTTAGAAAAGTGAAAACTAAAGTGACTGTGAAATAAAGGTTGGTTTTAAATATTAAATATCACGAAATTTGGATGTAATAATTAAAGGAAATTGAACTGCCATGAAAGGGCAGTAAATTTAGCCGGAATGCAAGGTCAGAATCCGGGGTCAAAATACATCCATCAAAAAATCATGCAAATTCTGTACTTCAGTAACAATATTTGCTACTTGTTTGTGCAATGGAAATTAATACAAGAAATTCTGCCAAAAGACATGTCCTTCTAGTAAACAAAGCAACCTTGGGACGTTTATCTTGAGAAATTGAGAAGACGAAAATCCCCTGGGACAGT